CTGGCGGGGCCAAAAGCATTTACACTGTAATACGATTTTATAGTGAACTGCTGCCGTTTACTGGCTGCCAATATGTTAACCAGGTTGGCAGCCAGTAAACAATGCGGTCACTTTCTGACGTTGAATGACTCTATTGTTGTTTCCCTATACTTTGATGGTATTGGTTTAATTATTGCTTTCAAAAAGCGATTAAATAGCCTTTTTCATTTAGCCAGTTCGCAAAACATTGGAAATTCAATTTTAGCCGCCATTTTGTTTTTCTCTACTAGCAGGATATGAGCTAATATCCTGCTAGTAGAGAACCAATCAGATTGCAGAATACCTCATATCCAGACCTTGTGTATATAATAATAGCTTATATCCTGCTACTAGATAAAAAAATGGCGGCTCAAAACTGAATTTCCGACGTTTTGCGAAAGAGAAAACGGCAATTAGTTGTTCGCTTTTTATAGCTATTACAGGATAAAAAACACAATGGAAAAACTCCCACAAGTTGTTTACAGGTTAGCAAATTATTTTTTAAGATTTAAAATGGTTAACAATAGATATATTTGAAATAATTTCGAGGAAGTTAAAAATATAAACAAAATAGAAAAATATTGAAAATATCCGAAAAGCAAAGTCTGTGAATTCAGAGCTAGTGTATTTAACAATTTAATAGACAACGAAGCCGAGTTGTCTATAAGCGAATAGTCAACGTCGCGAAGCCGAGTTGACTATTCGTTCAGAGACAACGAGGCTGAGTTGTCTAATTGTTTTAGTATAAACCACATAATTCATAAAGAAAACGGAATTTTTCACCTGATTTTTAATTAAAATAATAACGTTTTAACGAAATGAGCGTTTAAATGGCTTCCTTTGGCGACATTAGTCATTATGCCTCGGCTTTGTTGACAACTACTCAGTGTTGCGAGCTCTCGTGAATGACTTGAAAAATACAACTTGTAAGTTTTAAAAAGTTAAAAACATGTCGTAAAAGAGTATAATAGTAAGAGACCGTTATAGAATCAAAGTTTGGTTAATTAAAACTTATTTAAAAGAAGGAAACAAGGCTTAAAAAATCCAAAATTTCGAATACAAAATGGCCTCCCGAATTGTTGCTAAATTAGTAAATAAAGTTTATGTTAAAATGCCGAATAAAAATGCACACCATGCAAAAGAATCCGATTATCCGAATGTCGTTGAAATCTTTAAAATATCTGGAACATAAAGAGGCTAACCATTTCCATAATCTAGTATACACAGGCAATAGTTTAGATTAAAATTTAATTGAAAAACTCGACTCAAAAAGGCGAAAAACAAACTCGGCTAAAATCTCAACATTTAAACGAAAAAAACTCTTTATAATATCAGCTAAATACATGAACTCGTACTTAAAACAAGCACACACTAAAGAGGTCGAGAAAATAGGGGTAAATAGCTACAAAGTATTGTTGAATTTCAATTTCAGCCAGTTGGAATATTAACAGACATTGTGCATATAGGCTAGATTTTAAAACATCGCCAGTCACTTTCATGTTCAAATCTACGAGCAAAGTTGAGAAAACTTAAAAATTCTACCGTATGTGTCAGCAGTTTCCAAGAGTCCTTGTTTGTGTGTAATCCAGAACCAAAATTAGGCCATTTTGATAAGCTTTTCCTCTTAAATGCAGCTTTTAATACTTAAAAACGGCCATTGACTCCCGCGCCCTTCGCCGCTTGTTGGCTGTTGCTACTATAGCCTAGTAGGCTATCACTAATAGCCTAATAGTAGCGTAGCCAATCAGAACGCACGGTACATGATAGCTTACTAGTTGGTTTACACAAAATACTATTATTGCACTCACTCTCGACGAATATGAGCGACGTGGAATAACTGTTAAAAATTTCGGTAACGATTTAGCTAATTTTGCTCCGGGCATGCAATAACTGCCCTATTTTAATATATAGGTGAAATACAAATATATTTCCTCGATTTCCCGTCTATTACTTATTAGTATAAACCTACTAGTAGGCTATCACATATCGTGCCTTCTGATTGGCTACGCTACTAGTAGGCTATTAGTGATAGCCTACTAATAGAAAATTCAAAATGGCAGAAAATTCGCGTTTTGCACTTTTGCCGAAGTGTCTGATGATTTTTTGGACGACTTGTTGAACAATTCTGTACTAAAAAAACACGGAAAAAGCAACAAAAATATGGAATGGCAATTTTTAAGGGTAAGAAAATAGACAAAATAACATACACTCAATGAAATTTTAAAATTAAAACTGAATTTTGTAAAACATTTTACGCGAACAAAAACTAAAATATTTGTTTACCTTTAATGGTTTTATAATGTTTTTTTGTGTATTTTTGTATTGTGTTTGCAGCCTAGTTGTAAATTAATGTCAAAGTTTATACTAAAACAATTAGACAACTCGGCCTCGTTGTCTATGAGCAAATAGTCAACTCGGCTTCGCCTCGTTGACTATTCGCTCATAGACAACTCGGCATCGTTGTCTAATTGTTAAGTGTATTACATATCCATGCATATTTGCACTATGATGTATACATTTCTATTTTGGAACTATCTTTACCTTTGCAAATATTCCCAACAATAACGTGACCAGCTCGACATTTGCAGTTATACCCACCGAGAGTATTTTCACACACCATACTTTTGTGGCAGACATTTGGCGTTACTGTAGTACATTCGTTTATATCTGAAATGATCATCAAACCATTGGATTAGGAACCGTTCGTTATCCCCGAGCCAACGGCGCGGAGCGCCGTTCCGGGCGTTAGGCCGGGGCGAGGGTACTACTTCCGCCCGGCTATTTACACCCGGGGAAAGGAAAGTATTAGCGAAGTCCTCAGCTGCTGCGAATCTAAAGACCATCAATGATCGCGGGCGCGTGACTATGGTTCGTAGGTGGACCTCCTCACTGATCTGAAAAATATGGCTATTTATCAGGAGTGGGATAAGCAAGATTTCAATTCTCGAAAGCATATATTTGGAAAATCATGTTTCATACAATGAGTTTTGAAGCAATTTTTGTTTGAAGAAATGAGAAGAATTGATTTACTATGGAAAATCGTGAAATATAGACAGTGCAAGTTTGCTTTGAATGTTTAATGTTGATGAATGCGTAAAACATGCATGCACTGCTTTCCTTTTCAATGAAGCTGTATAAAGTTTCCTAATTTCCTCTGTTTAAATTTAAGAAAAATAGATAAAATATAAAGAAGAGCAAAACAATTTGAAGACCTAACTGAAATTACTCCACAATTTGAATTTATTTTGGCTTATCCCCGAGCCGGCGGCGCGAAGCGCCGTGCGAGGGTACTAATTCCCCCTGGCTATTTACACCCGGGGAAACGAAAGCATTAGCCAAGTCTAAAGTTCATCAAATGGTGGTCATCGTCACTGATCTCAAAAAGATGGCGGACTGTCATGAATAGCAAACACTGATTGGTCAAATTTAAAATTTGTTGTTGTATGACAAATCACGACTTCAACTGACAGATACATCATGAAAATAATTTGCTTTTTGCACTGCAGTATTTTGTACGTTTGCAAAAAACTTTGACAGCTTTCAAAGCAATTTGCTCTATAAAGAGTTTAATAGCCTAAAACAATTCTATATGGTATCAAATACCAATTGAAAAGATATGGACTACTGTATGGAGCCAAATGAAGAGCGGCAAGGAAACGACAAGAAAGCCGAACGTCTCGCGAAAAGGAGGGAGCCAGCGAAGACGACAACGTTTGCTCGAGGAGACTGCTGAGGAAAGAGAAGCTCGCCAGGGAAAGCGTAGAGAAGTATGGAAAAAAAAGACTGCGGAAGCGAAAGGTATTAAAGCAAAGGCTTGTCTTCACAACGCTATGTACCAATGATACTGTAGCTATACAAGTTTAAGTATGATATTCGACCCTCTATATTCGACTATTTCTTCACAATTTTCCAATAAAGAGTTTGTCATGACACGCTCAAGTCAGTATAACCAGACTGTATTTTATTTATAGCAGTTATCACAGCCACAGGCAATTTTATGCTGTCAAATACGTCGGTGGCAACTAAGGGTGAATAGTTGCAGATAAAACATTCTCTATTCTCATTAAAAAGCCTGTAAAAGTTTCCAGTAGGTCTCTAGCCCAACAAGTTCAGACAAAGTTTTGTTACTTATTTTTATTGCACACATGGGAAACAACAATTAAGTGTTGTTGTTCTTGACAAACATTGAAGATTCTAATCACGCGAATGTTTTTATGAGCGACTGTTCATCGTTAGTTGCAAACGACGGTACAACATACTATGAACATTTTTCCGACTGTGACCGAATGTGCAACGATATATTTTTCAAAGTTGTTAACAATTCCTAAAATTTGTTTATAGTAAAACAGCCTCCTCAGCACTCACTACTCACGATGATTTCATTTAGAAATGCAGTTACCAGGAAAGGAACTGATTCTAAAATATGTAAATCTAAAAGCATTGGCTATTACGATGTAAAGACAAGGTACAAACTTTTATAGTTGTTATTTGTCATAAATCCTATAAATAAACCGATTCAACAATAATTTTGCCTCGAATTTGCATATTCTATGCTGCATGTTTATATTTTATTTTTATAGTATAAAAATAAAATTGTAATACTATGAAGTAAATAGAGATTACTTCATGGTTGGCGAGCGCGTACGGTTTTTATTCACGAGTGAATTATTACAGGCGAACGAGTGCGCGCAGCGAACGAGTGAGCCTGTAATAATTAACGAGTGAATAAAAACCGTACCCGCGATCCAACCATGAAGTTATTTGTTTATATTATAAGTATTGAGATTTCACTCAAGAAAATGCATATTTTAAAATGATTAATAATAGTAGATTATTAACAGCATTTGAGGTTGCATAAATTAACTTTTTATTTTCAGAACACAACAACACAACTTGATTGTAAGAATTTCAACGCGAAGAAAATATTAAATTAACACGTATTTTAAAAATACTTCAAAGGCTATAAATGTTTATAAAAATGTCTAAAACTCATCGTCACTGTCCTCTAAAGGTTTAAGTCTCTTCCATTTTGACAACGCTTCATCTTTGGCGGAATTTTGGCTTGGTTCTTGTTCCAATGTGAGCTTGGGCGACTGGTTTACTGTGTTTATGTTAATGGAAAAATTGCCGCCTTTAATGACAGCTCCGCTGAATAAAGCCATAGCTTGTTGTGCTTCGGAGATGGGCGAGCAAGTTGGTGGTGAATTTACTGTTTTATCAGACGATGTCTTTGCTGCACTACCAGATGTATAACCACTGAGAACTTTGGACATTTGCATTTCCTGTTTGCTCGACACTTTGCTGTAGCTTTCTAAGCTTTTTAAATTCTTGTGCCCTGACAGTTGAGCGATATGTGTCGGGGGAATATCATTTTCGCTAAGTGTTTGAATCATTGTTTTTCTCCCGCTGTGATTTCGCAGTCGTTCGTTGTTGATTCCTGCTTTTTGAGCCATTGTCTTCATTAGACTGTTCAGTTTGTTTATTCCAACAGGAGCGGCCTTGAACCACTCTTTCGTTTGAAGCGACTCTTTCTTTAATGTGTTGTTCACAGCTAGGTAGAAAGGGGAATCATCCTCGTTCATTTTTCCTGGTCTCTTCCGCTCTTAAAGTTTGTAGACCACGACAGGATCTCTTTCCGACCCATCAGTAGCAAACATTTTAGGCGCCATTTTTCTGACATCACGGCAATCTGAACCGGTTCTTGTTTTGGTTTGTCTTTCATTAAATTCTAAAAATTCCTCACCGTCTGCTGTTTGCTTCAACTTAACATCGCCCCAACACATGTCTCTGTGTTCTTTGCAACCTCTGAGTCCAAAATGCATAGTGTTATTCAACCAGAGTGTGTTTAAAAGCAACTCAGGACTTCGTGTACCGAGAAGGTCTTTTTCATACAACGTATTTAGTTCCGAAGTAGTTAAAGCCACAGAAGCGTTTGGTTTATTTCCTTTTCCTTGTTTTTTTAATTGTTTTTGCTTGGACTCGAGAGTTTTTCTTGTCTTTTCGAATGCCAAGTCATTGATAATACTAGCAGGGTAGTTTTTCTTCTTAAGATGCCGCTCGAAACTTGCCAGTAAACTCCGAAGAGAAGATGGCTCGTATTCTTTTCCGTTTTTGGTTCTGACCGAAATTATAAAGTCAGACATGTATTCGTTTAGTTCTCCTATCGGGATATCCTCAATGTTTCTTTCTTCGTTCTTGTTCACCAAAAATAGTTGTAATAATTTAACATCACGCTGTGTTTTTTGCGCCGTGCTCTTGTTCTCCTGTTCCAAAATAAAGTCGTCAACAGAACCGGCGTCAACAAATCGCGAAGCCATTTTGTTGTTTTAAATAATTAAATTCGCAATTCCGCGCCAAATGAAAAATGACGTATTTTCCCGTACGATCATTTCTCACTAGTGAAAAAACATCGTTCGTCCAATCAACAACGGCGAACGATGATTTTTCACTAGTGAGATTTCATCGTTCTCGTTGCTGATTGGCTGTTGCTAATTTGGAACGATTATTACGCACTGCGATTTCGATGAGTAAATCTCAATACTTATATAATAAAATACATTTCTGTTTATTGACCAGTACTTATTTAATGTCTTCTTCATCCAGCGGTCAGAGTAAATTTCTACTTCAAGCAAGTAAATATTTGACAAGCAGTCTGGAATAAGCACAGGACTTTTAATGCATCAGCCAAATCCAAGTGTGCCCATCCCCCTCGCGCAGCCATTTTTCTGTAAAGCACATCCCGGGGGTTGGGCATTTCCACTCGAACCTTAGCCCCGGCGGGGCATTTGAAATTAATAATTTGGATTCTTGCACTTCACTTGTGGAATTAATATTAGAATGTTAGGGTTTGTAATCGAAGTGAGAATATATACATGTATATATTTTGTAATCCAAGTGAGAATATTTTGTAATCCAAGTGAGAATATACAAATGTACCGGTATAGTACATGTATATATTTGGTGTATATATTTTGTAATCCAAATGAGAATAGTTTGTAATCCAAGTGAGAATATGCAAATGTATATATTCTCACTTGGATTACAAACCCTAACATTCTAATTTTAATTCCACCAAGTGAAGTGCAAGAATCCAAATTATTGAAGTCCACCTTATCACAACCCGCACACCCGATTACCTAAATTATTATTATTATTATTATTATTATTATTATTATTATTATTATTTAATCTTATTTTACAACGGTAAGCCCTTCAGGGAATTACGACTGATTTTCAAGGGGCCGTTGCTAAATTAAGGCACAAAAACAAAATTTTACATCTATTACACACTAGAAAAGAACTTCTAAAAAAGGTATAAAATGTTATAAAAGGTATTAGCTCTATTTACAAGCTCGTTCTTCCATGTTATTGAGAATAGCCCTGAACTGACCAACTGATATTGCTCTATCTTTTGCGCGCTTCGGCAGATCATTCCAAAGCGCAGCACCTGAATAACTGAAGCTTTTTTCAAATAATTCGTATTCGGCTTTGGAAGTGCAAAATCTAATTCGTTACTGCGAAGGTTATAGTTTTTATTGTTGCTAGTGTTAAACATGCTCGTTAGGCATTTGGGAAACTCATTATTTCTTATTTTAAACATAAATAATGCTTTTTTGTCTTTTCTTCGGTCTAGCAACGGTTGCCACCCTAAGTTTTTTAAAATCTCACTTGAACGAGTTTCATAGGATTTTCCAGTTATGACTCTTGCAGCCCTGTTCTGCAGTTTTTGTAATTTTTCTAGTAGATAATTACTGCAATTATCCCAGACAAGGCTACAATAGTCGAAATGTGGCATTATCAGTGCACTATAGACAGTCCTTAAAGTTTCCTGGGGAACATAGGCTTTCATTCTCCTTAACATGCCAATTCCTCTAGAAACTTTGGTAGTTATTTCGTCAATTTGATTTTTCCATAGTAATTTTTCGTCGGTGACAATACCTAATGTTTTTGCTTGTTTAACTCTTTTTATATCAATACCGTCAAGACTTATCTTCGGATCGTCATCAATTTTCGCTAACCGTTGCCGAGAGCTAATTATCATATACTCAGTTTTTTCTTTGTTAAGAGTCAATTTGTTGGTTAACAGCCACGTATGAATATTTTCTAAATCAGAATTTAACTGGTTTTGTATATCTTCTATGGACTTCCCAGATGTTGTTAAATTTGTATCGTCAGCGAACATACTAGCTATTGAATGAGATAGGCAACTTGGGAGGTCATTTACGTAAAGTAAAAATAATAACGGCCCCAAAGTAGAGCCTTGTGGTACACCACAGCGAATAACACGTTCCTGAGATATAGTACGACCAATTTTGCACATCTGACGTCGATTTGTTAAGTACGATTTAAACCAGCAAAGAGTATTTTCACTGCACCCATACAACTTTAGTTTTCTAATTAGAATATAATAATTTACACAATCGAAAGCTTTTTTAAGGTCTAGGAAAATAACTCCATTTAAATATCCTTTGTCCATGTTAATAAACCATTTGTTAGTAGAATTTAAAAGCGATGTTTCTGTTGAGTTTTTCTTCCTAAAACCTGCCTGTTGTTGTGTGAGTATGCCTCTTGTTTCCAGAAATGTTGATAATTGATTTGATATAAGTTTTTCAAAAACTTTAGCTACAACTGAAAGTACTGAAATTTGCCTATAGTTATTGCACTCTAATTTGCTTTCTGATTTAAAGATTGGTGATATAATTGCGACCTTAAAGTCGTCTGGAAAAGCACCAGTCAACAGCGATTGGTTAAATATTTGAGTTAAGCTAGAGGTTATCACACCGGCCGAGTCTTTCAAAAGTTTAGGTGATATTCTATCATAGCCCGTAGCTTTGGATGAGGATAATGCTGAAACTATACCAAAAACCTCGACCTCCGTTACATTCTGTAATTCGAATGTAGAGTCATTCTCAGGTTTAATATATGACTCGGGTGTCCTTGTACTTTCTGGTAATTTTTGAGCCAGAGTTGTTCCAATTTTATTGAAAAAGTTGTTAAATGTATTTACAATAACTTCTGGCTCCTCAATCACTTTATCATCAACAACGATCTTAGTTATATTTGTTGTCTTGGACTTTTTGTTTGTAATTTTATTAATTGTCTTCCACATTTCTTTTGGATTTTTAGCAGTATTATTAATTATGCTCGTAAAATATTCGGTTTTAGTCTTTTCAATCAATCTATTTAAATCATTTCGAGCTCTTTTGTAAGCATCATGTAAATTGGAAGATCCAGTTTTGACCGCTTTTTTTTTAAGAAAATCCCTGTGGTAGATATGTCTCTTAATATTTTCTGTAATCCAGGGCGCATACTCACTTCTTACTTTGCGAGTCATTTGAGGCGCATGCATATCAGAAATTAA